GCCGTGAATCCTCATATCCATCAAGTCATTTTACCCGAATAACATGGCTTTGTCAAACGGCGATCGACTTGTACTAACCTTATGAGTTTTGTTGGGTACTTATTTTCAAATATGGTTAAGCAAGTGCAAGTGGATGCCGTATATACGGATTTCCAAAAAGCATTTGATAAAGTCGATCACTTGCTCTTATTGGATAAAATTGCATTTAACGATATACGGAGAAATTTGCTTCGTTGGTTTATGTCATATATTTTTAATAGAAATCAGAGGGTCATTGTTAATGGATATCGTTTTGACTCTATAGTTGCCAGCTCTGGAGTTCCACAGGGGTCGATACTGGGTCCGCTACTTTTTATAATTTTTATCAATGACATAAAACACTGCTTTAAGCACTCGTACTTCTTAATGTACGCGGACGATATTAAAATTTATAAATCATGCAAAAACATTCAAGACTGTCATCTTCTGCAATTGGACCTTTGTGGATTGCATAATTACTGTATTCAAAACAAGCTCTTTCTTAGTTTACCTAAATGCTACACTATTACATTCACCAAAAATTTAAACAAACTAAACTTTTCATACTCCATTTACAGTGAAACCTGGTTAATTGGGATCTCAAGGGACCAAGACATATGTACCAATTATTGAGGGTTTCCAATAATCCAGTTTTCCAATTAAGCAGGTTTAAAATTATAGTTGTCTCATTTACGGAGGCCCCCGCTTACAGAGGTCGAAATGTTAATAAAAATGCGTATTTTTGTAGGTATGAATGTACATACATAATGTATTGCGTCGAAAAAAAAACAATACGGTAAAGTTCATGACTTAAAGTAATCGGTTATGTTTGTTTGTATTTGATTGCTAGTTGCTGAAAGCTGTTTCTCGATAGAATAAATTTGATCAAAAATATTAGAATTATCAATATTTGACATTTCGAAATACTTGTGTAAAGTTTCTAAAGCTTCCATTGCCTCACGCTTTGAAGTTTTTACAGGAGTCTCTTCACAGTCTTTTTCTTCTTCTTCTGTGTCCAAAGAAGAATACATAGCAACTGACATGGATGATAATGTACACATTTCAGAGGAGCTCAATGATGATGACATATCATTGAGCTCCTCTGAAATGAGTACATTATCATCCATAGAAACGAAAAAACGTATTTTTCAGATACTGATAACGTTTTATATTTACGTTTTTACATTTTGTACACTTTTATTTCCTTGTGTTTAGGTCAGAACCTGACATAGTACTGACAAACAAAGCATGCACGAAAGACGATGCGAAATGTATGTAAACAAACATGTCAAAACGTGTTAAAATCTGATTAATTTGTCTCACTTATACAGGTAATTCAGCTACAGAGTCTCAACTATAGAGGTAAACATCTTAAAAGTCTTAGAATTCGAATCTCATTTAACCAGGTTCAAAAAGTCCCATTAACAGAGGTAATTTAATGAAAAAGAACCGGGACCTCAATGCAACTCTCAATAATAGAGGTTTCTTACTTATCCAGGTCCCACTTAATCAGGTTTAACTGTATAAGGGACCTTTAAATAAAGTAAAGTCGGCTCGTGATCTAGGGGTGTTATTAGACTCTTCTCTGCATTTTGACAAACACATTGACAATATAATAAACAAAGCCTATCGCATGTATGGCTTTGTCCTAAGATCCACTCGTGACTTTGTGCGACCCTCCACACTTTTGATGCTGTACAAAACCCTAATACGTTCTCAATTAGAATACAATATACCTGTATGGTATGGTAAGAGGTGACTAAGGGAGAAAACTACGCAGGACAACAACACTGCAGAGAGAAGGAAAACTTGAAACAAACCGTATACCAACCCGTCTGGCCAGCGTGGTATAGTAGGCCAAAACCTCCTTTCTAAGGAGAGGCCTATGTCCAGCAGTGGACTAGTATAGGCTGTTGATGATGTTGATGATACCTGTATGTGTTATAATTGTATACCAAAATGTTTCTGTAAGACCAGTAGCGCCATCTTTGTTTTATTTGTGTAATGTCTTTGATGCAAAAAATAAAACGTCAGTCGTTAACCAAAAGAGCGTGTATTAATAGGTTATGGGCTAATGTCCTGATTTTCTTAAGTAATTGGTATTACAGTTTAAGAAAAACGCTAAACTTTTGTGTAGATAATGGCTTCAAACTATATACAAAGTGTTCCCAAACTGAAAGGGAGGGAAAATTATGACGAGTGGAGTTTCGCGGCAGAAAATTTGTTAGTGCTAGAGGGCATGATCCAGTACATCAAGAGGCCTAAGACCAATAGGAGCGGAGCACCAAAAAAGAATGTTTCAAAAACGGAGAAAATGTATTACTATTGAGAGACGCAGACGAAGTTGCGCGGGTCAGCTAGTGTGAAATATGTATCAACTCTAGATATGCCTGCTGATCTCTTAACCTAAGGTTTATTGTCAGCAAAGCATTATAAATTTTTAGGAATGATAGGTCTTGTTCCTAATTAAAATTTAAGTTTGTTAATTGTTACTTGAGTTATTTTTTAGAAATATTTTGTTAAGTAGGGGTGTTATAATTGTATACCAAAATGTTTCTGTAAGACCAGTAGCGCCTTCTTTGTTTTATTTGTGTAATGTCTTTGATGCAAAAAATAAAACGTCAGTCGTTAACCAAAAGAGCGTGTATTAATAGTATGGAACCCTTTATACACCAAATATTCTTATAGACTGGAGTTAGTGCAGAAAAAATTCTTACGCTCAACCTACTACAAATTTACGCATTCTAGATTATCTTATATTGAATTGTTAAATCATTTTAATCTTCTAAGCCGAGATCTAGACGTCTAATTCTTGATGCCATGATGCTTCATGGTCTGTGCAATAAAAGATTTGACTGCTCAGCCATCACAAATGAAATATGTTACTCTATACCCAGAACAGTCGGTCGTCGAGGTGTGCGGCAATACCAACTTTTTCACACAACATCATTCAGAACTAACGCCGTTGTCCGCATACCTCTTCGACGACTGGTAGTGACGTAAAACAAATATTTCTCTGACATTGATATTTTTGCTCTTTCTAATAACCAATTTAAATGTTGCGTTAAATTATTAACCGCCTTGCCAACTGAATAGAATGCGAATATATTGTCTCATATGTATTTCTTAGATCTGAACTTAAGCGTAATATATCGTGTTTGTACATTTACATATAAGCACCTAGTGTCTGCGCTCATGCGCATTTACTGTAATGTTTTGATTTGTTTCATTCTAATTTCCTCTTATTAATCCGTGAACAATGGTGTGGGTTATGTGTTTATACCTCTGTAATATATTTATATATAGCTTTAAGACTTTAACATGTAACTGTTTTTTGTTCCTAATAAACAAATAAATAAATAAATTATAGTAGTATTCAAACGGCTTCCATCATCAAAGAATATTGCAATAATATAATTTTCGGATGTATTTTAATCAACGCTATCCAGTAAAGCTTGGTTGCTCAGACGGTCAGGAAATTAACTCGAACGTGAGGTGGATATTTCGAGTGAATTTGATTTTGGACCGATTTTGAATAACACAGGTCTTAAATTAAAAAAAAGAGCTAAAGTGAGCATTGTTGTAACTGTGTATGCCTTGCATAAACAACATACTAAAATACTTTTTTATTACTTCATAGAAATTCTTCCTCCGAGCCTTTTTCCCAAAATAGGTTGGGGTCGGCTTTAAGTCTACTATGATATGACTGTACTCCGATTTTTTCGGCTCCGACTTCCATCAGACCTCCATAACCAAGTACTAGGCGAAATCGAAGTTCTGTGTATTGTAGGGTTTCAACTACCCGTAACGATTGCCACAGATGTTCTTAAGGCAACCGGGACCGACGGCTTAACGTGCTTTCCGAGGCACGGATGGGTCATAATGTGTTAAGAAATGGTCATCAATCTATAGACTGACCTAGTTAGGATCGCTTAACTTTGCATTGTTTTGACTTAATCGGTTACCACTTAGCCACGAGCCCCTTTATTAATATTTTACAAAGAAAACAAATTAATAGATATTATACATGGAAAACAGAAGTTTCGGTTTAAGAGTTCGAACATTCTGGCAAATAGCCAATTCGAGATACAGGCACGCCACTATGAATTGCTCGAGCGAGTATAAAACTTCCTTTTGTTAATATTTCCTTCCCTTATTCAGTATTTCCCAATTTTCCCATCTAACTCATTAAGCGTCCGATTGACGGCTATAGGCTTGTTTTATCACAAAAGTGGAACTAAAATTATAATCATATATATATAGTTGGTCTTTTCCTATAAGTATATATTTATAATATTTTTTATTTTAGCTAATCAAGTACTGGCCCAAATTATCTTTACAATTTTGCCATTTTGATGGCAGGTATCCCTTTATTGTAGAATTCTGCTGGATATGAGGCGATGAAGTCAGCGAAAGCGTTTTGTACTGCCTCTCGGGTGTTGATTTTTTTCCCACTTGAAATATAAATAAATATATATATATATATATGTATATACATAGTTATAGTTACTATAGTTATCGGCCGACCGCGAGTCTCCTTCTTCAACTCAAAATCTCCAGATCTAAAACGGTTGAACCAATAAATGAACCGTGTTTATGCAAAAGCAGTGTTAAGCCTATACACGTTGTTAATATTTCGTGTTGTTTGCGCAGCGGTATTTCCACGTAGGAACTCAATTCGAAAAATGTAGAGTTTTCGGTATATCCATTGCGCAATTTCATAAAAACAAAACACTATCCAAAACAAAGGACTGAATTTTAAATTACAATAACATTCATTTCGAATAAAATTTATTTGAACTACGAATGCGCGCCAATCCACAGATAATTAAATCTGAAAATGCTGGTTTTAAAAATCTATTATATGTGGAGTGTATGTACCTGTACATACACATTAAATAGGCCAATTGGTAACAGGTAAATAGGTCCTAGGGATTTCCTTTCTAGGCTAAATTTTTTATAAATATTATTTTTGTTGACAGGCGGTGATAAACAGCACTATCACAGCCAACATGACGTTTACTAAAACGTCACAAAAGTTTGGCCAGTGGAGTGATGTCAGAGCAAATACGGTCTACGGACTAGGATTTGCTTCGGAACCGGAGTTAGGCAAGGTTTGTTAAGAATTCCGATGTACATGTACAAAGAATTACAGAGATGTTTGTTTATTAATATTTTAGGAGTATATATACCCTGAAGGTATTTATAATAGTTGGTAAACCAACTAAATACCTTCAGGGTATACTCTGACGCTCAACATGACTAAATACTAAAGTGTTTAGTCATGTTGAGAGAGATAAAAGAAAAGAGATAACATTTGTAGGTTCGATTTCTAGCCGAGATCATTTGTTCTGTATCTACTCTGTATCTATCTGTGTAAATTATCTATTATACGTATGTACCTATTACTGCCATGTACTATAAATAGTGCATCTTAGATGCTACTTTCGTTCTCTTGGAAGTTATTAATTAAAGCCTTTGCCCAATAGTGGAGTTACTATGGCTGATATAATGATAAAAATGATGGTGACACATAATTTACTTGCCGGCAGTTCATAGAGAAATTCCAAGAGGTCAAAGAAGCGATTCAAGCCCAGCAATGCGGCGGTGGTGGTGCCAAAAGTGTGACGAATGGTAACAGTGGCGCGGCTACACCTGTTGCCAGCGCCACGGCCAGCCCGCTGCTGGCAGGCCGCGCCACTGGGGCCGACGAGCCGCCACCAGCTATATCACCCGCACAGGTTTGTAGTCACCCTTAGCCGTGGTGAAATCTTCTAAATTCAGACATCTTTAATACTTCATAAAATTGTTCAATAGTTTTTTTTCGAGGGCGAAAAGAAGGTTTATGTGTTACATCCGAAAATATAAAATTGATGTGAAATACCGATAAATAAATGTTTAAAAACGAGCGAGCCTTACATTAGTCTCATACGATCTGTAACATCTATCTTCCAACACCGAGCTGTCATTCGTCAAATCAAATAGCGGACGTTTTCCCGGCTTCCTGTTACACACTTCCGTCCCTTTGCACGACATATCTCCCATTGTAGGTATACCGCTAAATTTGTAACTTCGTCTACGGGGTACAGGGGCGCGGAGGTACTGGGACTAGGAGAGGAGAATACAGACAGAAGGGACAACATGGTGTAAGCTCGGGAAGCATTCGCTGTTGGCTTTATCTATAATTGTAGGAAGGCGAGATGCAAACATCACATCAAAAAGTGACACCTTTCATCGTCTTCATCATGCAATCTCCTCACAAGACTCATTTTAAATCTTACAAATGTTTTTATCTCCTGAGTACTTGGAGTTTAAATCTAATTTCCATTGTCATGTCAGCCATTACAATAAAATAATATGTTCTCTCTATTCGCTTAAGTAATAAATGAGTAGCCATTGTACAAAGGTATTTTGTAACAGCCAAAACCGGAACCGGAAGAGCTGGCCGTTCATCAGCGGGCCCATTCTGTGTCCTCGACTCTTCAGCTAAGTGTAAGATTCAACAATAATATCTTCTTATATGTAATTAGTTTTATTTTAAAGGTAGTTCTTGTGTATATTGTATTTATTCTTAAGGGACGAGTGTAGTACAAATATATACGTAACTTTAAAACAGTTCAGTTAATATGAGAAACGACGACTTGACGACTTGACGACTGGATGGCGTAGTGGTTTGTGTAACGGACTGCTAGTCCAAAGGTCGTGGGTTCGATTCCCGCTCAAGTCAAACATTTGTGTGCATGAACATTTGATGTTTGATTTGGTCTGGGTGTTTCTATGTATAATATGTATGTATTTACAAAAAAAAAGTATATATGTATTTATATCAGTTGTCTAGTACCCATAGTACAAGCTCTGCTTAGTTTGGGACTAGATGGCGTTGTGTGAATGTGGTAGAATATATTATTATATTATTATTATTAAAGGTTTTGACTTAATAATGTGACTTGTACTGCGTGTAATCAAATGTATTAATTTATTTGAAAAAAAAAATCACAAACATTTGTGTTAAATATAAGTAAATAGTACCTTATAATTGTTCATAATATTTGTCACTCAATACATTATATATTTCAGTACATAGTTTTATCATAATTATCCGTGTGGTGACGGATTAAGAATACGGAATGTCACCACCCCTATTCATCGCGAGTATCGTAAGAGGCGACTAAGGGAGCAAAAAACGCATGACAACAGCACTGCAAAGAGAAGGAACACTTGACAAAAACCCTAAACGAACCCGTCTAGCCAGCTTAGCACATTAGGCCGGAACTACCTTTCTGAGGAGAGGCCTGTGTCCGGCAGTGGACTATTAAAGGCTGAAGATGTGATGATGAAAATTAATTCACAATTTCCTTCCGTATATATTCACATAGATAAGATACAATAGATATCTTTGAGCATACATAAGATATCCTTGGTTACGAATGATGGATCCCCGGTATATCTCAAGTTTCCACTAGGTAGAAAAGTTGCTCATGGAAGCAATAAGTAATGTATTCAAGTTAAAGACCTTCATTGGCGTTGGTTCATTTTTTTTTTATTATATCATAAAGGTATATAGCAAAACAGTTTTGTCCACCCACAGTAAGTTTTGCACGAGAACTATTTTAATCTTCTGTTGATAAATTGTTTGTTTGAGTTGTAACTTTCTGATTGTTTAAATGTTTTCTCGTGTTTTGTTCAGACTTAATGGTTTTATGTGGTGGCTCAATGTGATTGGCTTTGATATTTTTCAAGTTTAGAGTTTTTTTATATATTTGTCAAATATTATATCATATCAGGCACACGGCTGAATGATAAACGCCCTCGAAAACCGGTGTTAATAACTTTTTCGTTTCATTTGACGGAGTAATAGAGGTTAAATAAATCCCAAAGGCCATAATTGTGCAGGAGGGGGTACTCAATCCAATAGCGATTCTTAAGTTGCAAATGTCCGCGGGCGACGACTCTTATCATCATAAAAAATGTTTTTGATGCCTTCATGGCGTTTCTTACTATTTCATTATACTGCAAAACTAGTTTTCAGTTATGTTCTACAGTTGAATCTATGTCACCTAGAACCTAAACATAAAACTAGAATCCGACGATACAGGTATACTATTATCCCCAGGGAGGGTCTCAGGGTGGGTACGCGACGGTGGGTCGTGCGCCGCGCGGGCCGCTGGCGTCGGCCGGCGCGCTCGTGGAGCCGCCGCCCGCCGACAGCGCCGAGCAACAGCTGCGCTACGAGAACGACCGCCTCAAGCTCGCACTCGCCCAGAGGTCAGTGTCTCATTGTTCTAAAATCAGTATTATACGTTTACTTCTGGAAAAAAATATTTATTTTCTATGTATATTTTTTTTTTATTTCTTTCCATTCCTAAGCTCATCAGTTGTTAAAATTGGTGAAATGACCCAGAAAATTAAAGCCTTATCCTTTCATTAATATTTTTGGACAGGTTATCGTTCTGTCGGGTAGATAAATCGCTAAATATCCTGTCTGCCCGTCTAGCTGTCAGAGCGCGATAAAAGTACTAAACAAATTTTCATAAAAATTTCAATAAAGTGATTAAATCATGAGAAAGGTTTACGTCATTACCTGTAATAATTCATTGTGAGTCTTATATCAATTTCCTGACACATGACGATGGCAGTTTAAGATATGGGAGCAAAGCATGCTGGAACTTGACTGGAAGTTGTACTAGATACTCAAATGCACCGCTGGCAACCAATAATATTATAATACATTAAAACAATGTATAGAAATTTATTTATTCCTGAAAAAAATATAGGAAATGTGCTCTGCGAACTGTCGAATCCGGAGCGGATTGCTATTAAATAATAAAAAAAACGAACAATCAAAAGTTTATTCAATCGCAAGAGTTTTGTACAACACTTAAAACTATGAAAACAGAACAACACAGTCGGCTCTTAAATAAAAAATAATAAAAATGTTTCACACATTAAACAATTAAATAGTTCAATAGCTACTCATTACAACATCATAATAAATTATTTGTATTCTTAATGAGTCTGCTACGAAATTACACACTTTTAATTTACGTCAAACAAAGAACGTGGAAAGACACCAATTTCTTATTTTTATTGGTACACAAGTGGTAAAAACGTCTCTAGGAAGTTTACATTAGTGCAGTCCATTCGAGTTAAGAAAATAGTGACGAATCAATCAAAGGCCCACCCATTGACCAATCAGGTTTCATAGATGTTATCGTTTCGTACGAAAGTATATTGGTTGTGGGTTTAATTAATTTAAAAGCAGTGTGAATAACTTATTTAGTATAGTAACAAAATTAAAGCATAAAACCTTACATATATGGCCCTTGAACACACATGTCAAACAGAATCCAATCTTCTTTTTTCGTTTACAAATTACGTATTACTTATCTCAATCGCAGTCTCTGTTTGCCAAACGTGTTCAGAGGCCCAAGTGCTAGTTTATTTCACGCTGCGATTGCCCCATACTGGAATCTTCACCAATCGCAAAGCCGAACGCGAGGTGATGTAAAATAAACTTGCATTAGGCCCTCAAGGCTCTTAACATTAATAGTTTAAAGAAATATGTTCGAGTGATACTTACTAGTGCATGATTGGGTTTTCCCAAGTGATACGTGATACGATAATTAATATTGACAGTTTGACTGGCCCTTTTGTCGAAAATGAAACTGGCCGTTTGACAGAAAATCATACCATCAATTTCATATAGTAGATAATACAGTGTGTATATTAAAGACTGTACATGGGTTCCATTCATAAACTTTTGAAACAAAAGCCAGTGACTTTCACGAATACCGGTTGTGATTTCTTCACAGTTTCATCGACAACTCGAAATAATAAAGCAATCAATAAAATCCCATATACTACATTTATATAAAATCTGCCAGTTCTAATGTTGATATCCCTCAGACACGGGGGCGAACCCCTCTTCGTAGCCTCCGAAGTCGTGCTGATAGTGCAAAGGCTCTTGCGCTGGTTTAGCCTCATACTTGGTCTCGTACTCTTCGTGTTTCGGTGTTCCTATCTTGTGCACTACCGCGTTAAAACCGTTCTTGTCGTCAGCTTCGTATTCCACTACGCGTTTGGTGCCGTCCGTTTCTATGAGGGTGTAGCTTCCTGCAGCAATGGAGAATAAGATTATTAATTACCACAACATTTAATCAGCATACTCTATGTTTCGTCATACGGGGTTTTAGCGTTCCCACTGCAGTTGAAGTTCAGTGTTATTTAACTGTGATGTTCCAGAGGGTGAAGTTTTTTACAAAAAGTGCTCATGACATGGGATTGAACTCAAGTCGTGGCGTAAGAAGCTATTGATAGATCGATTCGAAAAAATCATCACCAGTTTCGCGAAAATTGTAGCGAGTACTAATTCGAAAACTTTATGGAAAAAAGAAAGTATTAACTTTATTAATTTTAACACTACCATCTGATCTCAAACTTGTCAGAGACTGTACTGTATTATTAACCATTACAAAGTTATTTCTACAGGTTGAGTATTAAACCCACACAGAACAGTATCTTTGGTTCAGTAATCAGAATCACCAAGTTAACGATTCTCCCGTAAAATTTAGTCTCGTGCATTAACAACGTATCTAGTATCTACAACATAAAAGAAATTAAAAAAAAATATACAATTTATTGTATAAAAAATTTAATAGTCAAAATTTCGGCCATTAATTTTAATGGCCGAAATTTTGACTATTAAATTTTTTATTAAATCTAATATAAATAAAAATATTTCTATTAAATCTTAAAATTTCAATGTCTTGAAAACGGTTAGGTTTAACCTTAACTTAGACGGTCGACTTAACCAGTAACCCTGTATATTCTGAATCATTATTATTCCAGCAAACAAAGAGGTTAAAAAAAAACGAACTTAAGAAAATTTTGGGGAAACCCGGACTTTCGCATGAAGTTTCCTTTTGTGATTCTAAACAAAATACTGAAAGTTACCCGGGGTCAAACGTTATGAATACGGTTTCTCGCGAAATTCGTATTTACGACCACAGCTATTAAAAGCGTGTTAAAAATCATTCTTTCATCCATACATAACAAATACATTATTTTTAGATAATGATCCAGTGATTTTTAGGTCTTTCCATAATATACCTAAACGTTGTTCTGTATATAAATTACAAAAGAAATCAAATCGCGATTAAAACATGGGGGAGGGGGGAGAGGGGGGTGAAAAATACTTTACGACCTAGTCTCATACCTACTAAATATACAGAAAAAATAATTAAACGTGTCGAGCCGTTTCGGAGGAGTGCGGCCACTACCGTGTCACGAGATGTTTATAAATTAGATGTTTATGTCGAATTAACGATGTTGTAAATCAGCACAGGTATATAATAAATTTTCTATTGGTAAACATTTATTTTGCCAAATAGGTTACAATGTTACAAAGTGCCAATTTAAGGATTCTTTCATTAGTCATTGGCACTTACTTTTAATTACCATCCTGAATTAAAAAATAGTAAGTATAAAATATTGTGGGTGTCGTAAGAGCCGACTAGGGAGCAAACTGCGCAGGACAACAACACTGCAAAGAGAAGGAAAACTTGACACAAACCCTATGCCAACCCGTCTGGCCAGCGTAGTATAGTAGGCCAAAACCTCCTTTCTAAGGAGAGGCCTATGTCCAGCAGTGGACTGTTAAAGGTTGTTGATGATGATTGATGAAGTATAAAATATTAACATTATAAAAACGTTTAGTTTTACTAAACTCACTATCTGTATGTATAAAAATGTTAAGTTGCTTTGTGAACGCTTCTAAAACTTTTAACACATCAATCCTTAATAAAAAATAATAATTAAGTGTGTCAATGACTAATGAAGTGCCAACAACAGTACAGATTGTTGCTATTGTGTGTGTTGATCTATGACTTTATAGTCTACATAAGAGACGATTTCAAATAATTTTAAAAAGGATTTTATGAAACTAAGATATTTTGACTTTGTCTTAGTTTCGACCAGGTTGCACTAGCTGTGGTCACAGGCTGATGGGCTAACTTAATGCGTAGATTGTTAAAAACTCACTTAAAAATAGATACTATTTTAGTATTGTTCCAGTTAAGTAGGGTCGACGATGCGCAAGTGTCGTCTCAATTTGGACTTGTTTATTGTTTTATTTGCAAAAACAAGTGAATTTGTAGAATTATGGAAACTTACCTTTAACTTTGTCACCATCTCTGGTCTCCCAGTGTTCTTTGTGGTCTCCAGTGTGAGGGTCCTTGACGGAGTAGTCGAACGAGTACTTAGGGTGTGCCTGAAATTAAACAATTAAAATGTACAAACAACAAAATTTACGTCCTTGTTTGTATTCTCTTTCTAACTATTTTTCCCTCGCTTTGTTGTATTGTATATCTGTGATAACGTGTATGTGTCCGATAATCTAACTAACTTGGTGATTAGCAACGAAATAATTGCTTAAACCGATTGTCTGTGAGACCATGACGTCTCCCAGACCAAGCCTTCCCATTAGTGCCGAAGCAGGCCCCCCCTCGGTCGCCGGGCCTGGAAGACAATACAATCTCAATACGGTCGAAGTCCGCCTGACTGTCGAATTCTGACCGCTTTGAATGTCTTGTTTTATTTCATAGACCAGTATATCTTGAAATGTTGATGTATAAACTTTACACCATCAGAGGTCAAATAATAATGGAGCTCTGTAACCGTTTTCACATTATTATTTTAAATTTTATAGCAGATATTTTGCTCATATTTTTAGCCTTCTACCCCTTTTCTACATAAAACAATTAAGTATTCCAAAATGATATGTGCTTTCATTAACCGACTTCAAAAAGGAGGAGGTTCTCAATTCGATTGGTATTTTTTTTAATGTATGTACACCGATTACTCTGAGATTTATCATCCGATTTACGTGATTCTTCTTTAGTTTGACGCGGAATTGTTGCCATTTAGTCCCATAAAAATTTAACATAGTTAGGCCTAGTAGTTTTCATTTTATGAACATTTTTTAATTAATATTATTGTTTACTTGGATGATATAATTTTAGTTTGTGTATGGCCTTTTTAGGAGTTTTCATTCAAGTTGATTATATATTGTTTTCCAAATTTGTTTATATGGCACATATAATTTTCAGTACTTACATGTGAAGTTAGAAATTAGTTTACAGCTTAAAGTAAACACACGTACGCACTATACGTCATACATAATTATACGGCTATAAATTATGCAGATGGATGTGGTCTTACATTTGAAAGTTTGTTTGTTAGGGACTTGTAAACAAAGCGTTTATTCGGTAGCCATTATTACGTATTATAATTTCGTGTAATCAAGTACGAAAACAGAGCTAGGTCACTTAAGTTTGAGGTACACCAACAGGACATTTGTCTGAACACAATGATTTGGGAGGAGTAGAACAGTAATCTTGCCTCTCTTTGTTTCTATGGTATGAAGTGAATTGGGTTCTCTGAGAGAACGAGAACGTCTTTCCCACGAAAAATGGGGATAAAATAAACATTTGTTTATACATTACATTACATTTGTTTATAGCAAACCATCGCGTTATATAACATATGTATGTTTACATGAATTAATGCGATCACGATAATAGGTATTAAGCACATCCCTTACAATTACCTGACCTTTCGACCAGAGGGCCTTGTGCAAGTTTATTTCACTTAACTCGATCGCGACTCACAACCCCCAAACGCGATCATCGTCAGATCGAGTCGATGTGACAAAAAAGTTACCCTAATCCCTTAGGTTGCACTGGCCGTGGTCATAGGCTGACAAAATGTACCTGTAAACTACGTGACCACCGTAGGGGCCCGTCTGCACAGCGATGTTTCACTGCGAGGTTTTTATTGGGCGGAAATAAATCGCCACCTATCAATCTCTCCACCGTCAATTTGAATCAAATCACATCACAATTTCCCAAGTGCGGGATAGTCCTATATAGATCCCATGTGTCACAGAATTTGCGAAAAAAAGGAACATGTACATAGGATTGGAATTGTACAATTGGACGTAGATACGCAAAAAGGATACAATCCACAGGATGGTCGAAACTGAGCCAACCCCATATTTACTTTAATATTTCTAAATATGCTTATTATGCCCAATAAAAAGGACAACTATGTCCCAAATCAACAAAATCACAAAATAGAATATCTATAAGCTATTTAAACTTCAATCTTCATTATCTCAAAAGTTTTATTTGTGGGTTGGATCCTTTTTGCGTATTATGTTTGAGATAAAGTAAACTTAAATTACAATGAAGCATCAAAATGTTACCCTTACTTCATAATGTTAACTCTTATGAACTCTTGATCGTTAAACTACTTCCAATTCACACAAAAAACGAAAAAAAATGTAATTGCGCCTCACGGTCGTCTGGTCTTAAAGGATTGCAGATCAGCTTATATCGAACAAACACGCGATAGACTTATTTCAATCTGAAACCTATAACGATACGGCCAATATAAAAAGCTTACGGCCCGTATCACCTTTAATATACAATTGTAATAGTAAGCGAAATGTTTTTGGTTGAGATATACTAACAGGAACTCAGACCATTACTTGTATAAATAACAGTAGAGGCCACCAACTTACAGAAAACCGGTGTTAAAGAATTCATTGTTTGCTTTTCTCTGAGTGAGTGATGTTACTGGAGGTCTGATTCTGGAAGGAGCCTTAGAAGGCGACAACGCAATTGTGACTCTTGAGTTGAAGAAGTCAGTCCATGAGTGGCGGAAATCACACCATCAGGTGACCCGTCTGCTCGTTTGCATTCCTATACCATATAAAAACATTTTCGCGATAACTCTCTTTTCAAATAATACCAAAGGTTTCCTTACGTGGTAATCCAAATCGTACTCCTCTCCGTGGCTTTCGTGTCCTTCGTCAAGATGTTGTTGTTGTTGGAGGTATACCGGTGACTTGTGGTAGCCAGCGTAACCACTGAAGTCTTCGTACTGAGCCACCACACACGCGGCTATTAGTAGGAGGGAGACGGCACTCTGGAAACGACAGATTTGAAATTTAGTTGTTGGGTTGAATTTCAGAGGTTCGTAAAGACCTCTGAAGGGTTTTTCATATTCCGTATTTAATGTAAACGACGCAAAAAGTAGTTCCGTGCACAAGTTAAAAAAAAAGTAGGATCAGGTGGAAAAGTTATCGAACACAATGCATGTTTTACAGTCAGGTTAATGGATCATATCTGGTTACCAGCGGCCTGTATTAATCATTGGCGGTCGCGGTACATATAACAATCAGCTCGTGAAATTTCATTGCGCGATGCAGCATCAGAAGATACAACGTAGTTCATGTTATCATAGCTAGATGATGTCATAGTATATTTTTAATGTACCAATGTCGCAACTTAAGCATTTATCGATTCACATCATCATATCAAAAGCTTTTAACAGTCCAGTGCTGGACATAGGCCTCTCCTTAGAAAGGAGGTTTGTCCTGTGTAGTTTGCTCTCTTAGTCGGCTCTTACGACACCCACAGGATGAATAGGGGTGGTGACAATCCGTATTCTCACTCCGTCACCACACTGATTTATCGATTATGATAATCATATGTTGAAGCTGGCCGCCTGACTATTTCGAAAATTACAATTTACTTTTGAATAACCGTCTTATGTCCGTGTCCATAATATTCAGAGATAATGATAAGTATGTTGTTTTGATTATGCTCGTTAAAAAAAATACCAATTTCTACTATGTACACAAATTGACTGTATTTAAATAAAGCCAATTTGAAAAGGCTCATTGATAAACTCATGAGTTACAACAACCCAGTCTACATAAGGTTATTATCTATAATGACGTCACGTGCGCCAGACGGAGGGGAAAGCTCGGGAAAGCTGTCATCACGAAGAGTTCTATCGAGAGGATAGAACGATGTCTGTTTAGTTAATCAGAACGGTAATAAATATTACGGATGAATAGATTTTGCTGCGGATTCGTTCCCTTAGGGATTTTTTTTATTCCTATCCTTCGTTATTGGCGTAAATTGGCGAAGTTTAAACAGTTTAGCATGAAATAAAATCTCTGAAATGTTTAACTTATTATGGGTTTTCTGCATTGCTCACTCACGTACATCTCAACCATAATTTCTACAAAACATGTCGATATTTTTGTTACAAAACGCTACGAGTACCTACCTCATATTAGGTAATAAATCATTAGTATTCTTGTCAATCCCTCCGGCTAAACTGAAATGCTCGTGGACGAATTGTATTTCGAGTTTCTTAAGACCCCAACGTATCAGATCTAAGATTATTATTCTTTTTTTTTACTGTCTTAAATGTAACTCTTTCTTAGCAATAATGAACAGATATTTCCCATAAACTATCAAAGTAAAACACGTTCCCTCAATTTTGTTAACTGAATCGCGTTAACAGGCCATTGGTATCATAAATAAATTTACTATTTAAGTGTATCGTGCTCCAAAACAGACAGGTGCTACTTTAAAGTTTAATTGTTTGTGCTTTGTGATTCGAAACATAGGTTAAACTAGTAAACTATTTGCTTTTTGCTGCGACTGTTTCTTCTGTATCTGAGTGTAATTTTATCTATAATATATGTTTAGCAGCAGTGGTTACTATAAGACAGTCTCTGCCTAGTTTGAGGTCAGAAGTTTTAACAGTGCGTAAGTTATTTTTTAGTGGTTTTAAATCTTTTTATGCTGTTTGTTAAAGAAAGATCGCGCACTTTATTTCAAACAGTGCGCAATGCTAGGCGCCATGTACTTACATGGTCGGCATAGCTAAAGTTATAAGTTTAAATTTAATAAGAATAAACAGGTTAACTATCTGTTAAAAAAATATACAAATACAGCTCATCTTTCTGTGAAGAACTGCCTAAGATATGCAGTACCTATATTACGGCAATAGGCTTGCCTTGTTTGGTATTGCATAAGTGGGACTATATTTGTAGTAAGTAAAATGTGATTATTTATACTTCATGGATATTGGCGGGAGTATATGTGTAGTTACATTTAAGCTACGAATTAAAACAGCCAGACAGTAAACATTGTCCCATTATAATCGATTAAATCAATTTGTGTCGGATTTTAATCCGTTAATAATTTAATTAAGCCGTCTCGCATACCAACTGATCTCCCTAGAGCAAAATACCAATTAATTTTAGATTCTATTCTAAATTTAGTTGTACAAACATTAATTTAGGTCTTAGTAATCAATATAATTCCCTATAAAAGAGGGGTGTTATAAGTGTATCTGTGGTCTCGCTACCAAACAAATTAACCGATTTTGAAAAGGAATTATCAGTGTAGGAAATCACATTTATACACAGAAATATTCCATTTCATATTTCTTTGAATATTATAAATGAAACGCGTAACTGGATTATTAACCAAGTATAGTTGAACGTAAATAAATCTGATTGCGTTTCCTATAATGCGTTTACCACTAGTTGAGTTTTCCCAGAAGCCTGTACAATTTGTTTAATCATAGTATTATTAGAAAGACGTTTAATCAATACGATTCGCAGTAAATCTAGACTGCAGTATAAATGCGAGGACGAATTATAATCGTGAAGGGTTTCCTTCAGCTACGATCAGGATGTTTTCTTGAGTTAAACGAAAAGAAGTCAAACGTGACACATTTGAATGTTAATGCTTGTTATTTTAACTTCATTAATTCCTTTTACTTTTAGAGAAGACTATTTGAAACACACAGTTCCTAAATTCCTTAGCCTATTCGTTTTTCTTACTCCAAGTTACCTTCTTACCTCGTCTCGCTTGAAAATGGTTAAATTCACATGCAAGGTTGGCGTCACGCAGGTGGCCGGCCTAAAAGAAACTAGCTTAAACTCTCTGCAATGTTACTTATTGCGCTGACCGAATATAATATTGAGAAGAGTGTCGGAAACTGATGCTCTTATATTGTGGCGACTCCCACATACAAAGAACCAGAAACATATTACAGCGCCATCTAACGAAGACACACCGAACTACGGAGCACGTCCTGAATGAGAATTGCTAATCCTGTATCGCGATATGAGGAATTCTCTCTCCGATTAGCATATATACAACTTTCCAACTTCAACCGTTGGGCCGCGGTCCGCCATGGCATGATCACCTTGCCTGGTCGGAGGATCCTCCAGAGACACCCGGTCCTCCACAATATAATCTCTAAGATCAGACAGGGCGCAGTGGTCCTTTCTATACGCTCAAGGTAGTTCCTGTTACCTAAGAAAACATCTCAAGTAATCTACACTCTTTGGCAGTATACTATTTGCTAGTCTAGGCGTATTAAAAGAAAACATGCACAAGTATTAGATCAGTTTCCGACAAGCTCTGCTTTTGTTAGCTCTATAGTTAAACTATAAAGTTCACCATTTAAATATCCCTTTGTAGATGCAATATCTTGTACTGGCAGGCTATTCGCGTTTTACTTTGTAGGGGTGACAATTTGTAAACAATATTGAACCAAAATGAAAATGGCATTTAAAAATACTTTTATAAAACCCTTTTTCGTCAGTCGTTTACTCCCTTGATAAATATACATATGTATTAAAAATTGTGAAGATTTCTGACAAAGACACGGATATTATCAACCTTTAAATCCCTTCCTTTTTTTCGTGTGGAAGCTCCGACTGGTCATCATGTCACCAGCACCATACTTAAACCATTCGGTGTGCCATCATATTTGGGTTTCGGGAAAGCCTCACATGACAAGGAAGCCACCGGGAACCTGAATCAAGGCCCTAAATACTTCTGAGTTTACTCGTAGACAGTATTCACTGTAATAAAATGTCTCATTTTTCACTTACAAAAACCATTTTCTTTTTTTAATTCTGTAAGAAAATTAAAGTCAACAATGTTTTTCTTTGACCCCAAGACGTTAGGAAATTTGTCTAGCCCAAATTGCTTCGTTGTCTTAAAATCAATTAAGGCCAATATAATCCCTCTCAGAATTTCGACGCCCGAGACAAAAAGTCAATTACCGTGAAATACTACGCCTATACCTTAAGGCGCTTATCCACTGAGGGCGAAACGATTCAAGAACAATACTGAACGATTTTATTTTTATATTTTTTGTATGGTAGGTATAGGGTGCAAGCGAGCAGACGGTATGGTAAGCGATTACTGCTACCTATCTATACATCACACACATCAACAGCTTTTAACAGTCCACCGCTAGACACAAGCCTCTCCTTAGAAAGGCGGTTTTGGCCTACTATACCACGCTGGCCAGACGGCTTGGTATAGGGTTTGTGTCAAGTTTTCGTTCTCCTATGCAGTGCTGTTGTTCTGCGTAGTTTTTTCCTTTAGTCGGCTCTTACGACACCCACGGGATGAATAGGGGTGGTGACACTCTGTATTCTTAATCCGTCACCTGCAACTCAAAGTCACAAGTACGTTGCCACCATTTAAACCTGAAACCAGGGCCGGGGGGAGGGGGGTATAACCTCACGTGAAAATAACGAAAAAAATACTTAGCACTGGTTTCCTGTCAGGCTGTGGTATAACTTGGTTCGAGCTTTCCTATGTGTATCGAGGCATGACTTTCCCATGGTAATGACGTTTGTCGCTAGAGACATCAAATTTGTTAAATTTTAACATAAGTGTAATATTTGTTAAGATTATTTTGTAAAATGTATCTTGTAGCTGTTCGTTATTCCTATTCAATAAAAACGTTCATATTTGGGAATCGTCATACCCTAATTATATTCGTAAACTTTATCAGAGACAAAAGTGTTAAATAACTTTACGTAAATTACAATGTTAAGTGGTTAAAAATTAAGAAAATGTCATTTAGATTCGATTCCACTCGCAGTTACAATTCATATCTACTACCGAAAGATTTAATAAAACAACTTTTTAGTAAACTTTTAATAAACGATTTCCCCAAAACCGTTTGCCAAATAGTTTATGTTGCAAGTTGAAAGTCTTGAAAATTTAAATTTAATTTGAACACCAATTCTTGCTAAACAAAGAAACACCTTTCTTCAACAACACCAATTCCTTAGCATATGTTGACAG